TCCTCAGGCTATCTATCAGAGGAGTAGTTTAAGTAACGTGACTGTCCAAAAAAGGCTAGACTCCTCTGAGAGATAGCCTGAGCTAGCTGAGGTAAATTCCACATTAAACTCTCTCTATATCACGTGACCCCCTCGGGTTATGACTCAAAATATGAACAAATTGAACAAACACTGCCACACTCAGGCTGTAAGGCACCCCGCCAACATCGCAGACGTTGTAGAATTTCACGTTCGCGACACTTATCGAGAATACCTCACACACAACTACAAACGACAATGAGGCCGATATTATTGTCAGGCCATGTAAGTCATATCCGAATTCAGGGCTCCAGAGTGATCGTTTGCTGATATTTGCGCAGGAGCGGGCCTTGACGCAAGTCAAGTATGTCCGAAACCATTCCACCAGGACGACGGAGAGTACTGACCATCACATCCCAGATACACGAGAGATGGCGATATCATCTTCTCAGTCTCGAAAGATCACATCGTTTGCGCTTGGTATTCCGCCAACGGAGAGCGATTAGGGACATACCATGGACACCAGGGTGCGCTATGGACCGTCGACATCGACCCCACGACAACGTTGCTCGCCAGTGGCGGCGCCGACAACACTATTCGGCTGTGGGATGTCAAAACCGGGAAACTTCTGAAAACCTGGGACTTCGGATCGAGTATCAAGCGAGTTGAGTTTTCTCCGGATGGCACTCAACTATTAGGAGTTACCGAAAAGCGAGTCGGCCATGTCAGCTCCATCGTCGTTTACGATATCAAGCAAGATGTGGAGGCGGAGCAGAGCAGCGAGCACGCTTTGAGGATAGTGGTCGACGAAAGCAAGGCGACTGTGGCTGGCTTCAGCTACGGAGCGAAGTATATCATTGCAGGTCACGAAGATGGGTCTGTTTCGCAATTCGACGCAAAGGTAACATCTAGAAACATCGTCACTCCATGGACAGCCGCTAATCTTAACAGACTGGCGAACTTCTAGACACTTTCCAAGCACATGAGCCGGACTTTTCCGTGACAGATTTGCAGTGGTCGCCGGACCGGACATACTTCATCACTGCTTCAAAAGACAAGACAGCAAAGGTACGATCCCTCTGAGAAGTAGTTTCTCTCCGACAAAATACCTTTCCTTTCACTAACCCCAGCGCAGCTTATCTCGGCAAGCGATCTTGCTCTCCTCAAGACCTACGTCACGGACACTCCATTAAACAGCGCCGCTCTTACGCCAGTCAAGGACTTCGTCATCCTTGGCGGTGGTCAAGCCGCAATGGATGTCACCACCACCTCGGCCCGACAAGGCAAGTTCGAAGCCCGAATTTTCCACAAAATCTTCGAGGAGGAGATCGGGCGCGTGCGAGGCCATTTCGGGCCCCTCAACTACGTTGCGGTCAGCCCCGATGGGAAGAGCTACTGCAGTGGCGGAGAGGATGGATATGTGCGCGTCCATCATTTCGATCGACCGTATTTCGACTTCCTGTTCGAGGTGGAGCGGGAGAGGGCGAATATCTGAGGGACGAGGTTGCCGTGACGGGACGACGCATGTCAATACGATGGAGTTAACTGGCTGAATTGAGGCATGGCTTCGGAAAATTTCAAATTTCTTCGGACTCCAGTCTCGTGCTTTTCTCATGCGGGCTCTGTGACATCTCGAGGTGACGGATGTACCAGCTGGAACTCCATATTGTCTGGAGGAGCGAACTCTCCGGCCCTTCCCCATTTCTTCGCCCCCTTCATAGCCTTCTTGGCTTCCTTTCTCGCCTTCTTCGCCTCCTTCTTCTCCATCTTCAATGCCTTTTTCTCCTTCCTAGTTAGTCTTGTAAATTCAGACTCGGGACCTCTCAAAACCATTCCCGGATGTACCACGTTCGTGAGCAGAAGCGCAAGCACCATCGGAAGAGCATCGAGACATAGCACAAACCCTTCGTGTGAAAGTAGCGGGTTGTCGTCTGATACGCCAGAACTGAATTCAACGATGCGAAATACGATGCGAACCTACATTTCCTTGATTTAGAGTCGTAGCTGACATGGACGGGGAAGTATACTCACGGTGATCAGGACTAGCACCACATACATCGCCCATGTCAGAGCGCGCCATTTGATGTTAGGGCTGACCAGGCCCATCTCTTCGAGCCGCACTGTCTGTCGATGGAACTGAATCGTGACCGCAAAAAACCCTAGAATAAACAGTTCTTGGATGCCTATCCCGACCCGGTAGACGATCAGACCAATACGGGTCGTTTGGGTGCCTCCCGTGTCATCCGTGTCTGAGAGCATCGAGCCACCCACCCCTTGGATGAGGAATGAGAAGATGTCAAGCCAGATGAAGTACTTCGATATGGAGCTCGCTTTGACGAAAGAAATCCGCTTCTCGGGCACGAGGAAGTGAATTAGCCTCGCACCCGTCATGTATACGAAAGCATTGATCCCTGCCAGCGGTCAGTCCCCTTGTTGTTTCTGTGAGATAGCTGCGGGCTTACACAGTGGAGCCAGGAGGAAGAATAGATTCCCTCCTATTAGATAACCCAGATTCTGCTGATTCCACGCACCAAGTGCCCGCAAGATGAATGCAGCCACCTCCCAAAGCGACCCCATGATCACCACCCAGCAAAACCTCTATAACCGCGTCAGAACCACGTCCCTCTCAGAAGACCCAACCAAATGCCTACCTTTTTGAAGATACATGCTTCGACAATATGAGCCAGAGACGTCAACCCAAAGAGCGCCGCGAACGCGATATTTGCACCGAAACTAGGATCATAGAAGTAGTTGGAATTGCAGGCATCTGGTGGAACTTCGCCATATCTGCCTGGGACTGCTGTTGTGCATGATGGAGCAAGTGAGGAGATGGTCGCAGATGATATGAATGAGGTAGTAGGACTTGGGATTGAAGAGCTCATGGTTCAAATCGAAATAGTATATCCTGCCTTCGCTCCGGAAGCTGTCGTGCGGTAATTGATCGTTCATGGCGTCCAACTTGGGGTTCCGACCACTTCGGTTTATACAAGTGCATTGGTGTTTCCATTTCGTATACGAGTTGATTCTGAGGAATTGAGGGCTCAAAACGACGATAGTTGCGAGATACGCAAGCTGGGCGCAGTTGCACTGGCATCATGGTCTATTCTGAGAGGCTCAAGTTCGCGATCTCGCAACAGTGACTCGATTAGGCAACCCTGGGTCCCACCTATATAATTCCGGGCGCATTGTTTGCAGCTTGAACATTGGCTCGGAATGACTCCGAACAGGATGACGCTGTCCAGAAGGTAGAATCCGAGATGTCAAACATCAAAGTTCTTTGCAACCGACTGTAAAACGAATGTGATCACATTCAATTGGCCACCCACCACTACTATTATGACGTGGTCCACCTTCAAAGCTTGGATTCAGGGGTTAGGAACTCGGACGTTCGATCATCGAGGATGTTTCATAGATGGCGCGGAATTTTCTTACCCTTATTTGGCTCTAGACATAAGAATTCTGACACCGAGCTACCTTCCTCCAATAATTACTGGTGGTTATTATTATTCATCGTCTTTTTGGAACTCTCACAATGAAGCTTGCCCCCTTAATTATTGATCCGCATCTGACACGTCCTGACACCCTCGTCCTGAAAACCCTATTGGCAGACATAGATCACGGCAACGTGCAGCTGCAAGCCAAGTTATCAGACAGGGAAATATCACATCCTGAAAAGCATGGAACCATCGCACAAAGTAAGTAGCCGTCTCTCGTGCTACCTACCGTACCCGACTATCTGCATTGATCAATTGACATCTTTAGGCAATGGCAATGGCACGCTCTCCAAATCCACCTCCAATGGTGATCAGGCGACGATTGACGCTCTGGAAGCGTGGAACAATCCCGAGCACAAAAGTTTCGAGCCTTCAGTATTCGCCACTTGGGACCTCCCAGACGTGAAGGTTCCGGCAACTTTGGATCGCATCGTGCTGCAGCCATACATCAAGTGGGCTCGTACTATCGTTCGAAAAGAGACCGATGTTCTGATGTTGACGCAGCTAATCCTATACTTTACGACATCTGTTCCGAGCGCGCTCTATCTGTATTACCATTTTTCCTATTTACACGCTTTCTTCCACATTCTGATGCAACTATGGTATACCGGAACGTATACACTCATGATGCATCAACACATCCATATGGGCGGAATTCTGGCCAAAAAATATGCATGGATCGATGCATGCTTCCCCTACATTACCGACCCTCTGATGGGCCACACCTGGAACTCGTACTTTTTTCATCACGTCAAGCATCACCATATCGAAAGCAACGGGCCGGACGATCTCTCCTCGACACTTTTATACCAGCGCGATGAAATCTCCAGCTTTCTCCACTACGTCGGCCGCTTCTTCTTCTTTGTGTGGCTGGATCTTCCTCTTTATTTTCTGCGGAAGAACAAGCCGGTGGCCGCGCTGAAGACTGCGGCCTCGGAGCTAGGAACATACGCGGCGATCTGCTTGTTGGCCATCTATGGCAATTCGCAGGCAACGGTCTTTGTTTACGTGTTACCCCTCCTGACGCTTAGGCTGGGACTGATGGTTGGAAATTGGGGTCAACACGCGTTTGTAGACGAGGTTGACCCCGACTCGGATTTTCGATCGAGCATCACGCTGATCGATGTTTCAGTACGTTTCCCAATCCATCGTTCGGTAAGATCCTTGCATTAATCAAACCCTTTCCTACAGAGTAACCGCTACTGTTACAACGATGGATACCATACATCCCACCATCTGAACCCCCGAAGACACTGGCGAGAACACCCAGTCGCCTTTATCAAACAGAAAGATCGATATGCGCAGGAAGACGCGCTGGTCTTCCGCAATATCGACTACATTATGATCACCATCAAACTCCTGCAGAAAGACTACATGTACCTTGCCGAACGCATGGTTCCGCTCGGCCACCAAATGGACATGACGGTGGAACAGCGAGCCACGCTGCTTAAAACAAAGGCGAGACGCTTCACCCGAGCGGAGATAGAGCAGAAGTTCCCCAAGAAACAAAACCTTTAACGGCCATAATGCTTCCAAAAATGGCGCTAACAGTTGGAGGTTCCGGTCTGAAGGTTGAAAACTGATAGTTAGGAGTCCAAAATCGGATTCGTGCAAGGTCTCAGCACAGCGGCAGTTAGTTTTTGAGGAACCGCTGGTAACGAAACACGGCGTTTCGACTAAGCGGAAACCTCCTGAAAACGGCGTCAAAAACTGCCATTTTTGGAGGCAGTTTCAGTAGCATACATAATTCTCAATCTCAATAGATAGAAAGTCAGGGGACGGGGATCCCTGGCTCGCTCATATTCATCGGAATAGAAGTCTTAGATCACGAGGAGCGATGGCTAGTTTCTCTAGCGACTAAACGTTTGTCTCTACTCTAGCATAGCTTCTCTTGGAGGTATTGCGTTTTTTATACAGGTATGCTCCATTTGGTCTTGCGGGATATTCTATTCTCTCTCGGTTGGACGAGATCCATTCAACTCCTGATAGCATTAGGCCGGTTGAATTGATCACACATCCGTGGTCTTCGTTTCTTACGCCTTATCCCCCCCCAGTATCCCATACGCACGTAGACACCGTCCTAATCATGTGTCTTACTCTCCGAGATCAAGACCAATCCTTCTCTTGGAACATTGTCATATCTCCTCTTGATCAGCAGCGTTGGCCACTGCGTCGTGTTTCAAAAACCCTACCTCCTCCGTCTCACTCCTTAAGCGTATCCGCGCCACCATCGAAATCATGGAGGTCATACTCCTCCGGATATTTCTCCAAGATCTCCCTCATCGCCTTCATCTGCCCCATCTGTTCTTCCGACATGTCCTCATACACATCCTCCCAGATGCCTCTCAATCCCGGCCGCTTCTCCTTCTCGGCCTTAGTAAATGCCTTCAGCACGTCTTTTCGCAGGGAACTCCGGGCGGCTTGCTCCTTCTCTTCATCCCACGCGCCGCGATTCTCGAGGTATTTCCTCAGTCGCGTGATGGGGTTGTCTCTCCGCTTCCAGTCCTCTACCTCGACCTTCGCACGGTATGCGAAGCTGTCGTCGCTCGTGCTGTGGTGGCTGACTCGGTAACTCATCGCTTCTATAAGGACGGGTTTGCCTCCGTTCTCGAGCGCCATCTTTCGTGCTCGCTTCGTCACGGCTCTCACTGCGAAGATGTCATTGCCATCGCAACGGATCGTTTCAATCCCATATCCGATACCACGGCTCGCAATTCCGTCACCGCGATATTGCTCTAGGGTAGGTGTACTGATAGCGAATCCGTTGTTCCTGCAAATGAACACCACCGGACAGGAGCGCGTGGCAGCGATATTCAACGCAGCATGAAAGTCGCCCTCGCTTGCAGCACCTTCACCGAAGTAACATGCCACAATCCGTTTCTCGATTTCCGGATTCTGTAGACTTTGCATCTTCAACGCATACGCAGCGCCGGACGCTTGCGGGATCTGGGTAGCTAGAGGGGATGAGATGGTATGGATGTTCAGGTCCCGGCTTCCGTAGTGGACGGGCATATTGCGGCCGAGGCCCATGTCTTTGCGGTTTGCGAACAGCTGGTTCATGAAGTTGTCGAGTGTGAAGCCGCGGTACTGGAACACCCCCGTCTCGCGGTATTGTGCGAAGATGACATCGGACGGGAGGAGTGCCGAAGCAGAGCCCACGGCAATACCCTCTTCGCCGGCAGAAACCTATTTGGAGTCAGTCATAGTGTATAATCAAGCCGGATAAGTCCAATTCACCATGTAGAAACTGACGCGTCCCTGTCTCTGAGCATCGAACATGATCAAGTCCATAATATTAACTGCACCCGGTCAACGCTGGTCACATAGGTTACGCAGACTTCGCACCCGTAACCATATCTTTATAGAGCCTGATAGCCTCCTCATCCGTCAGATCCGGTACCCTGCTCTTATCAACAATCTCCCCATTCTGATCCATAACCCGATATGTCGGCATGGCACCCTTTGCGGACGGCTTTTCGAATTCCATGGTCGATGTGAATTTACTATTTACGGCGCCCGGGAAATGAACACTATCGAGACTCAGTCAATGCATACAATTCGGCTCACGGAGTAACGTACTAGTCGGATCCTGGACGCTGTGAAACCGAATTCCACCGTCGCCAACATTTTGAGGTTGGGAGGACGCGGCCGTTGTGGTCTCCTTCTGCGCATATCCCCCGCAGCGCCCGTCGCACTGATATCCTATAGAGAGACATTGTAATATATACAAGACGTAAGTGTCATGTCCAGCATGAACGAGTTTGAGGATTTGGAAAGGATAAGTACGATAGTCAATCTGCATTCCTATAGAGTTTGTTCGGGGTTGTCGAGGCTCGGCTTCTGTCGGCTTAAATTACCATTACTCACTCCGCCTCTCTTCATTGTTCGCTCCAGTCACCTGTACATTTCTACAAAGAAAAAAGTTGGAAGTCCGATACGTATCTCATTATTAGTGTTCGGAATTTACATGTAGACCGGCCTAGACTGCCTGCCATTGATGGTAACAGATGTTGGAACACCGCTTAGGAACTATCATCTACCGCAATCTAGAAATCGAATCCCTTCACCGAACCACTCTTCCTAAACCAAATCCTCTCACCCCGTTACTAACCCATACCTCATCGCCGACCTTCACACTGTCCTGCGTAACATGCTTTTCTTCACAAAGCCCCTTCATCAATGCCCACCGCCTGGTCGTTCCCCTCTGCCCACCCTTTCCAACCGGCTCCCCCGCATTGCCCACATCGGGGGTCACCCACCGTCCGTCTCTCCAGAAGTAAGGGGTCGTAGTCGAGCCTTCGATGATGATCCCCTGCGCGTCGTATAGCAAGACTTCATGGTTTACAATGGCGCTAGGGGCGCCATCGATCTGCTTGCTCGGATCTGGGAGTGACCGTGACCGGGCCTCATTATAGAATGTGCGGTGTGTAGTTTTGAGAGTGGTGAACGGAGACGTTGGAATTGGTGCAGAGTCTAGATGAAGGTCCCATGTGGGAGAAGGAATCCCGGAGCTCGTGGTCGTGGTGGGATTCGGAAGCGAGTCATCACTCCCTAATGTCAAGGCGCCGCCAGTCCGAGGGGATGGGGTAAAGGGGATAGTGGGCCGCGTCATGTCTTTGGATTGGGCGGTGAGGTTGAGAGTGGTTGGGTAGAGCATCCAGCGAGGAACTGGGGGAACGGGAGATATCTCGACCTTCATGGAGCCCAATTTCGAAAACAGAATACGAATCTAATAGACCGTCAGAAGAAGTTCGAAATACAAAAAGTTGATTACACGAAAGGACAACCGAGCACATAAACCAATTGAGTAGGAAGGCGTCGACATAGGCGTGCCCACGTTGGATTGGAATATACAGGCGAAGATCCAGAGCCATCAGACCATAAAAGAAGAAACCTACCCACCTTCAAAGCTCCATCTGTCGCATTCTCATTTCTCTGCCATCTCTTCACCTCTTTGAGCAGCGTCTCCTCCAACCGCTCCCCATCAGCAAGCAACCCCACAGCCGCTCCAAACTCAAAATGCAACACCGCCTCAAACATCCGATCGCGGTGTAATCGGATCATATAAAACGGGGTTGGCGTCCCAAAGCTCACGTCCTTATGTCCATTCTCTTCGCAGGTGAGCAGCGCTGGATCATATCTTAGCGAGGTGAAGACCTCGAAGGTATCGGGTTCCAAGGCCATTCTGGTGCAATATGGAGTTTAAGGTCTGATACCGGGGAATCGAAGGCGTATACGTATATAGTATGCCTTATAAATATGTAGATATATGGGAATGACTCCCAAGATTCAGAATGTGTCAAGCGGATACTCACATCATCAGAAATATAGATCGAGGACCGAGCATCAATCGGGTAACACCGACAAGGAACTCTAGACAATAATATTCCTACCTGAAGGCTGAAGCTAATGAATAACCGTTTGGGTGGGGTCTGACCGACGACTGAATGCGCAGGAACATCGGACGGTGATCAGTCTGGAGAGGACCCCCCACACCCCATCTCCGCTGTGGTGTCGATTATCCATTGATGTCTCGCAAATAAGATTTGCAGGATAGGCCAGGAATTTTGGCCCCCTGAGTTCAGCTAATGTTCAAACCGTGTCTGGTTGGTGAAAATAATTCCAAGTATGCAGACGAAGATGCAGACTTCACATCACGAAGTACATATTACATCAGCTTACCGGTACTACTCAGGCTGTGGCATTGTGGCTTGACTCCGATCCAGGAGCACCTTGCGTACGATATGGGCATAACTGACTACTGACGAGTTAATGGTCCAGAGTGAGATCTACATTGCTAGTGTGCTAGGTATTAACTGAACACAAACCCACGTCACAGGGCATTCCCCCATTGATTGATGGACAGTCAAATCAATGGATATCTTTCCCTCATTAGTGTCGAGAGGTTGTTCCTAGCAATTCAGTCTCCCTGCCTTCTAAGTTCAGCTTGCTGTCCATGCTTTTTGAGTTGATACAGATGCGGTAGCGGTTGACTCCGTTGATAAACTCCGATTTTCTTCAGGATGTTAACACCATCTACCACTGGCTCGCCTGTTGAGGAGCAGCGGGGGTGTCCTCCCAGTTTCCAGCCTCGGCAGCGGGCGCCGCGGCGGCCCAGTCGCCAGTCGGAACCGCGTCCCAGTCTCCACCGGTAGCCGGCACAACAGCCGCCGCGCTGGCATCCCAGTCGGCGGCGAATCCACCGGCCACGGGAACCGCGCCAACCTCATCGACGCCCGGGACCTTGGCCTCTTCGACGCCGGCGCTGTCCTTGTTCTCCTCCGCCTCAGGATCGCGGTAGAAGTACAGATCGGTCATGACGTCCCACTCGGTGTCGCGGGAAGCGATGGTGCCGCGGAGGCGGAGGACCTCGCGGGCAAGCATCCACCAAATCAGACCGATGGAGTGACGACCCTTGTTGTTGGTGGGGATGGCCACGTCGACGTGCTCGGTCGGGGAGTCCATGTCGCACAGCGCGATGACGGGGATGTTGACGTACGACGCCTCCTTGATGGCCTGGGCGTCGGTGCGGGGGTCGGTGACGATGATGAGGCGCGGTTCCTTGAAGGAGCGGGTGATGTAATTGGTGAAGTTACCGGGGGTGAAGCGACCGGCGATGGCGGTGGATCCGGTATGGGCGGCGAACTTCAGGACCGCACGTTGACCGTAGGGACGAGCGGAGATGGCGCAGATGTCAGCTGGGTTGTCGACAGCGACGATGATGCGGGCAGCGAGGACAATCTTCTCCCTTTAGGTATGTTAGCGATTGCGCGAGATTCAGTGCAAGCAGTTGCGCTTCCGACACTTATTGGCATCGTGAAAGCCCGAACAATGGCAAATTAAACGTACCAGGTCTTCGACAGGTTCAACACGTTGATTCCGTCAGGTCGAGTCTTCCACAGGTACGGCTCCATATGAACCTGCATGTTCTTGGTGCCGATGTGGGCTTGAGCTGCAAGCAGCATCTCGATATCTTGGTTCGTCGCATTGAAGATCGACGGAAGGTTAGAGGGCGCCATGATGATTGGCTTGAGGTGCCCGAAGAGCAACAACTGGATATGAGATTAATGAGGAGGTTGAAGCTTGATATGAAGGAGTGCGAAATCAAGATGTCGTGAGAGGGAGAAGTCACTGATGTGTGTGGGATTTGATATTTGAAATGTGGAGCTTCGCTTGAGGAAATCTTGGCGGATGCCTGAGTGCCTTAAATGCCTAAATTGCCTGAAATTTCCTGAGGCATGTCTTTTGAGATTCAACGTCGTGGCACGTGACTCTCATTCCACTCGAAAGTTTCAACGACTATGAAGACAAAGCAGCACCTGTCACGATAATTGCAAAGGCACTACCGCCGCCATGCCACCTCGAATATGCATGAGGTCACTGCTTGACGGGCTCAATGGTGAGAATCCCAATGCCATACGATTGATTCCCTGGATCCCCAACTAACCATCCTCAGCCTCCCTCACCACCACCTCCCGTCTCCCCATCCGCACATTCTCCTCCACCTCACCCATCTCCGCCGCCGCACGCAAGAAGCGAAAACATGCCACCCTCGACCGATATGCCGCCGCCCAACTCGAGCGCAACCGCCTCGCGAACCGCACCCGCCAAGCCGAGCTCCGCGCGGAAGACGCCCTCGCCGCCGGCGACCCCGTCCACGGCCGCCCAACCCCCTTCGTCGAGTCCTTTGACGCCGCCATTGACCTCCCCGACCTCTCTCCCGATGCCGACAGCCCCCCCGCGCCCCCCGCCGCCCGCCTGAAGCACTTCTTCGACCCCGACGAGATCGAGCAAACCCTCTCCAAAGCCCAACACCTCGCCCACCCCATCAACACCGCGCCCGCCCACCCCGGCGACACTTCCCCCTTCGCCGAGCTCCTTGAGAACCACACCCTCCAGCACCAAACCGCCACCGAGGCCATCGCGCGCATCACCTCCCTCACCCAAGCCAACAACGAAGACCTCCTCCGCGTCAACATCCAGCGCTGCATCGACGTCTTCGGCCGACACTCCACCGACTCCACCCTCCCACGCAAAGCGCTCGCCGCCTCTCCCGGCCCCAATCTCTCCCCCGCCGCGGGCCGACGGGACCCCGCGCCCGTCCCCCGCGCGGGTCCGGACACGGGGAGCAGCGAGGTGCAGATCGCGATCTTGACGGCGAAGATCCGGGCGGTGGCCAACGCGCTGGAGACGCGGGGGACGACGGATAAGGTGACGAAGCGGGATTTGCGGCTGCTGGTGCATCGGAGGCAGAAGTTGTTGCAGTACTTGCGGCGGAAGGAGAGGGGGGGGCCGCGGTGGGTGAATGTCATTGAGAAGTTGGGGTTGACGGAGGCGACGTGGAAGGGAGAGATTAGCTTGTAGGGGTGGATGGAAGATGTACAGCATACCTTGAAGCATTGGGGGATTTGTATGATTAGCTTGGTAGCATTGGCACCATTTACGCGTGTCATAAATGGATCTTGGTCACAATCCCAATTCGATCGATTGGATAATAAACGCCCATCTATTGCTATATATCGTCGTCACCCTCCCATCCGCCTAGCATTACAATCTTTAAGACTTTTTGCGGCGCACCGGCGCAATCGTGTCCGGCACACTCAAATGCGACCCCATATATATCTCAACGGATGTCGTTCCAGGAACCCAGACTGCCGATGACGCAAAAAAACGCTAACATCGGATTCCTAGCCGAGGTGTACACGAGAGGGAGGATTAGGTAGAGAGGACGGTCGTGGGAACGATCGAAGTCCGACGAACGCGCGCAGGAGAAAAAGGGGAACCAATTACCAAAGCCATCCATGTCGCACAGACCGACGCATGGTGGCGGATTTGCCAAAGGAAAGAAAGGGGTTGAAATACAAAATCGAAGCAGCAACGTTCACATACCATTTTACATCCCGCAAAACAAAAAGCCGAAACAATGGCCATCAAGAGGGGGGAATCGTCCACATTTTTCCACGCAAATCCGCCGACTTCAACAAGCGATCGCACGCGTGTTTTACTTTGTCCGAACCTAAGCACCCCCGAACCCGGAGCTCGCGAAGTTTGGCGCCAGGTTCGGGTACCGCTGCTGGATGGTCAATTGCGTCCGGGTCGCCTCGGCATAGCTGAGCGCGTTGATGACCTCGTTCTCGGTACGGGAGAGCTCGGCGGCGCGCTCGAAGTACTTGAGGGCTTCGGTGACCTTGCTTTGCTGGAGGAGGAGCTGGGCCATGGTGGCGACGGCGATGTCGCATTCGGGGTCGACTAGGGGCGGTTAGTCGTGGGATCTGCGGAGAGGGGAAGGAAGGGGTGGGTTAGGGAGACATACTGATCAGGGCGCTCTCGCACAGTTTCTGCGCCTCCGCGACGGCGTCCTTCGATTGCCACTGGAACAAAGCCAACGCCTTATTGATTAGCGGCAAGACGTTCATGCACATGGGCTTGGTCGCCTTCTCGAGCTCGACAGCGGTGTCGAACTTCGCGATGGCCTCCTCGTACTTCTGCTGGTCGAGGAGCAGCTCACCGTAGTAGTTGTACACCTCGGGGGCGCGCTCGAAGTTCTTGATGCACCGGCGGAAGGTGGCGAAGGACGAGGCGACCGAGCCCATCTTGTACTGCGTGACGCCGAGCTGGATGTGCGAGAAGATGAAGTCGCGGTCCAGGTCGATGGACTTTTGGTAGTCTTTGGCGGCATCGGTGAACTCGCCGAGGATGAAGTGGAGTTGGGCGCGGTGGTAGTAGATGTCCGGGTCGGCGGCATCCGTGGAGATGGCTTTTTCGAAGTCCGCGATGGCCTTTGCTTGGTCGCCTTCTGTGCGTGTTAGTACTGCTCCCAGACCTACAATCATACTATAAGAATGAAGGGGGAAACCTACCTTCTTCGAGGTACATGCTCGCCCTCTTAATAAAGCTCTGCGTTAACTCAGGCTTCAACTCCACCGCCTTGGTCAAATCATTCAACGCATCCGTATTCTCCCCCTTCAAGTACCTAAACGTCCCCCGCATGTTATACGCAAACGCCTCATGCTCGCCCAACCCCCCAATCTCCACCGCCCGATCGAACGCCTCCCCGGCCTCCGCATAGCTCTCCGCCGTCCGTCTCCCCATCTCCGCAATCCCCTTCTGCAACTGATACAACCCTGACGCCGCATCCAGCTCCACCCCATCCTCCAGCCCCTGCGGCGGCGGCTTGGCGCGGAAGCTCTGCAGATAGTTGCTCACGAATGTCGGCGAAGGGAGGCGGCGCTTCTTATCCTTCATCATCTCGGCGGCGCGCTCGCGCGCGATGACCTGCAGCAGGCGCTCGACGGCGTTGGCGGCGGTCTCGTTGCTGAAGTGATCGATGATGCAGGAGGCGGTGTAGTCGAGCAGGGCGTCGGAGTGCTGGCCGCTGCGCTCGTAGGCGTGGCCGCGGCGGTTGAGGGCCTTGACGTACATGGGGTCGAGGCTGATGGCGGCGGTGGTGTCGGCAATGACCTTGTCCCATTCCGAGGTGGCGTTGTAGCAGGCGGCGCGGTTGGAGTAGAAGACGGGGTCTTGCTTGCAGAGGAGCGCTTGGGTGTACAGCGAGATTGCGCGGGCGTAGTTTTTGGATTGGTAGGCGGAATTCCCGGCGACTTTAAGCTTGCTGGCGAGGTCCTTGCGTTCCTGTCGGAGATTCGTTATTTTCGGCACCAGATATCTAGACACTCATATAGCCTTACCTGCTCCCCGAGCGCGGCCACCGACTCCTCCGTCACCTCCGGCAACCCATCATTCTCCTCTTCCACCTCCGCCTTCTTCCCCCCCTTCTCCCCCCCCGCCTCCTTCGCCGCTGCGTCCTTCTTCTTCTTCTGGTTCTTCCTCTTCTTCTTCCCCGTCGTCGACGACGCCGCTGTTTCTGACGGCGCGGGACGCTTGCCGTCCGCTGTGGAGATGTAGTAGATGCCCGCCCCGGTCGCGACCACGGTCACCGTCGCAAGGGTGTACACGACGACCTTGTTCTCAGACGCCCAGGAGGAGATCTTCTCCCAGAGGCCGGGCGCAGAGGAGGCAGGTGGGAGAGGGATGGCGGTCACGGGGAAGGGTGCCGGCTTGGTGGCCATGTTGGCGGCCATGTGGAGCTATTGAGGGGAGAAATTGATTCAAATATTGCAGACTCGACGAGATGGGATGGCCGAGTTCGGGTCGGCGAAGGTCGTGCCGGACGCGTGATGAGGATGCACGTCGAGGAGTAATGCCCCGCTAGGAGTCGATGGGGAGGGATGGATGGATGGAGACAATGGAAAGGAGGGTGAGCGTGGAAGATGGCCGGGAGAGATGGCGTTGAGCTGAAATTGACGGATACAGTCGATGGAGGAGGACGTGAGGTGTTGGATGGCGTGGAGAAGTTGCAGGGCAAGGGAAGTCGGAAGTCTAAGAGCTGATTGCTGTGGATTTTTATTAGCGTGCATTTTCACTTAGGCTCGGCACCGCGCCCATGATGACATCGACAGATCGACTCATCTGCTGTTCCATTGAATGGAAAATTGAAGGGGAAATATTGGAGATTTATAGGTCACTCCTCAGGAGATTCACTTTCTACTCTCTGATTCCATACCCTATTTGTTCGACCTTTCTTTTCCCTTCCCAATCCTGCCGATCGTGCCAATACAGTGCCGCATTGAGCCCCCAGGGCGAAGTTCGAGTGGCTTTATGGCACTGCTGTAACGCATACGGCACATTCGAGACCTGTAGGAATCAATCGGGGCTCATCGTTCAATCGAGGCCCAAGAAAAAATCTCGATGTACCGCAAAGGGAACGTCAAGTTACCAGGCGAGTCATCCGGCGATATTGCACGGTTCCATTCATCTACATATCCACCATTGGTACTATCCCAACGCTCGCCCTCACCCTTCCCTTCCTAAATTCCAACCCAAAAATAAATAAAAAAACATATGAAAGCATGGAGATGAATATCGAAGCCTGTATATATCTTCAGAGTCCCTCCGAATTAGCAAAATGCCCATCGATCCAAATCACCGGCATCGTGAGCCAAGGAACGCCAAAATGCGCGGGTCTGGATATCGCACCGGTCCGAAGACCCAGCCTGACAACCCCAGCCGCGCCCCGATCTCCTGGTGCGTGATGCGTGGTCTCGTGAAAGCAAAATGACAAGCAGTGCGTGGTGACGAGGTCCCGTAGGTACCCTTTAACCGTCTCGATAACACGTCTAATTCACCCGATTCTCATCCCCGAAAGGACTGCCCATCCGCTCGTTCCCCTTCCCAGGCACGTAGCTCGCCCGCTTCACTGCCTCCTCGATAACCGTGCTCAGCGCCCCCGCGCTCTTCCTCGCCGCGGGCGTCCCGATCTCCGGACTGCTGTCACCATCACCATCGGAGAAGGGTGATTGAGTGGTGTCGTCTTCGTCGGTCGATCTGGAGGCGGACGGAGGGGCGAGGAGAGAGCGCCTCGAGCGGCTGTGGCTGGGTTCGTCGTCGGAGGAATCCGCGTTGACTTGGGGGGAGTTGGAAGCGCTGGGAGGTTGGCGGGCGCGGTCGTGGGTGGTATCCGAGTCGGTGGATGAGGCGACGGAGGCTTCGGTGAAGGGACGCATGGAGAGGCCGAGGCCTTGGGGTGACGGAGCAGCCGCGGAGGTTTCGGACACGGAGCTCGCGGTGGTGGCGCTGGCCGCGGCGGTGGTGGCGTCTTTTTTGTTTTTCTTGACGATGGTAAGGGTGGTGGGTTTCCCGTACGATGCGCCCTTGGACAGGGAGCCAGAGCGGCTTAAGTCGCTGCTCGTCGGCATTTTGATGACGGGGCGAGCGGACGCCGCGGGCTGCGGGGAGCTGGCGGTCGATTCGAAGCGGCGGACGTCGCCTAGGGCAGGGACGGGGGGCGTGAGGTCGGCGGAGAGGACGGGGGTATTGGCCTGGCTGGATTTGACGCTGACGATAGCGGGGCGGCCGCGCATGACGGTGGTAGCGGGGGTGGAAGAGAGAACGGCGGAGCTGCGGTAACGTTCGGTGGCGACGCTGTTGCGTGTCATGGAGCTTTGGGCGTAGCTGCTGCGGACGTCTGACATGTCGGAGTACATGGTGTCGCGGATGTCGCCGGGGAGGAAGTGAAGGTCTTCAGAGGCGTTGGGTGTGGTGGAGCCGGATGTGGGGATGGGGATGGGGGGGACGGGGGGAACGAGGAGGCCTGGGGAGCCGGGTCCTGAGCGGTTGGTTACGCCTGGGATATACGCGATCTGGATGACGTTTGATGCTCGAGTAAGGACAGTCGATGCCAACGATGCGACCGTATGCGTTGATGCTCGACCGTCGCGTTGGAGAGTGAACTGATCCTTTTCTGGCGGGAACTCATCCTCCTCGTATTCGATAAACTCATCCTTCTTCTTTCGGATCATGAACCACCAGACAAGGAAGGTAATGAATGCTAGCGCTACGACTCCGCCGGCCACTCCACCTGCAATGGCGCCGACGTTGGGTCCCTCGGATTTGTTCCCGAGCTGCCCGCTCTCGGTGGCGCCAGACTGACCGACCGGGACACATGAGACGGAAGCGCAGACATCGCAATCATCGGCTTGCTGAACGCACACCTCGCCGTCTTTGCAGGCCGGGCAATCCAGCTTCATCGGCGGACATTGAAGGCATCGTTTGAAGAGTCGTCGAAGCTGTTTTTCAACTTCTATCGACAACCCGTTAGCACGATCCAAAGAAAGCATGACCGCCGTGATCGAACGTACCTGATATGTTGGAATCCATTGTGGAAGTGGAGTGAAGATCGGCAAACGCGGATCGAGGAACGGAAGTCCGAGTGAGATTAAAGAACGAGACAAGGCCAAGCCTTCAAGCGGACCAGCTGGGCCAAGACGGCGGCTGGTACCGAAGGGCAAAGCGCTTTAGAGTCGAGGGACAAGGGAAAGTAGGCCGGCCTCCAGACAGGAAATTGATGGTTGCGCAACGTCGACTCTGCGTCGCTCCTGCAGGCAAATCGACCCCGAGCACCAGGGACTGTTTCTGGATCGACCCGTGCAGCTTCAGCGACAAGAGAGCAAACAGATGGATCGGATCTGGCACGGCCGGATCAGGCAATCGACGTCCAGTATGGTGTCACACACGACATGTCACCGGGATCGGGTTCGACTCGGACAAAGAATGGCAGCTGGAGGATCGGTCGGGGAGGTAAACGAGGAGTGGCCAATGAAAGGGATAGGCGACAGGGGGATCGAGTGGTCAATCGGCGGTGAAATGGAGAGTCGGGAGGGAACAAACGAGCGACGGAGATGGATTGGGGGGAGGGTTTTCGAGGGAAGATGTGGTCGGAAGATTGGAGGAGGAAGATGGGAGGTGAATAGTTGATGTGGAGAGAGCGAGAGTCCAGAGAAGCAGAGAAGGTGAGGAGAAGCGATGATCGCTAGCTGGGGGGTGAGAGGGTGAGACTGGGGCTTAAGGCTTGGGCTGAGGAATAACCAAGGACCAAGCCAAATCAGCAAGGAAGTAAGAGAGCCGAGAAGACAGTCGTTGCAACAACGAAGTCCTGGTCTTTCTTTGAGAGCAGTTATTGTTGGGTTATTATTAGGGCTTTCTTTGCCCGTTGACGCTTTCGTAATGGTTGGTTCTTGTTGTTCGTAGGCGGTGGGACGGGTAAAAAGGCACCGCCTAACTTGAACGGAACTGCGTGGGTGGACAGACTGTGCTAGACTGCAAGTCGGGATCCGATCCAACTTCAACAACAACCTTGCCTTAAATGCCCTTAAATGCCCTTAAATGCCCTTATAATGCTGATAACCAAATGGCTTTTAAATGAACGATGGAGGGGTTTCCAATCTCTCTCCACCTGCTTTGAATTTTGGCCCTTGACACTGAATGAGCATGCCACTGTGACCGTGAGCTGTTGAGGAGTGAGGACTGAGCACCCATAAGTCCCATATCAACCTGGAAACACCCTCCAATCCTCCAGCCCACAGTCCACAGTTCATTCACATGGTGAGACTTGATGGCGCCAAAAGCAATGGACCCGTCCCTGCGCTGGAGGCCCGATTATTGGCTGATACCCGCGACGCTTCGCCGCTTTGGGTGTAACTACCACTCGTCGTCGTCCCGATGTTGCTCCACCGCCCAACACCCGCCTCGTCGTCGATGCTTGAGAGTCGAGAACCATCACCGGATTCTGAACGTCAGCAGAGTCTGGCCGACATTGTGCAATGTGCACCGCCTGTTTCGACATCTGTAAAACGGAATGAATTGTGTCCTGGTCATAACCTGCAACATAAGATTAGGATGGCATAATTCCCTAGCGGAAATTAATTGAGATTGGCTTCATTACGGACGTGCAGCCAATCAGCGTGAACCTGCTGCGTCTCCCCATTCCGTTCATTTCCCTGACTCCAGCACCGCAGTCCATACATAAATCCTCCTTCTTCCACCACTTCGTCTCATCTCAGCTGCACAGCAGACTGCATCCATCATCCTGTCTCGATCAATCTGCGCCCGTCAGCACTTGTCCACGTCATTTTATCCCATCCCTCATTCACCGTTCATACTCAGCAGCACTCCCGCCAAACCGTCCCAGAACTCACCTGCCCTGTAGGCTGTAGTACAACCATCCACCCCCATGTCGGGTAAATATATTGGCTCTCCTCGAACCCGGCTGGCCTCCCAATATTTGATGAACTGCAGATTGGATGGCACACAATTCCCATTCTTCAGGCATAATTGATGAACGAAGCGGGGACGCGGATCGCGTTCAAGCAATCAATAATTCCTGTCTTTGTCAGTCATCTGCCAGGAATGCCATTCATCCGTGGACCGTGACCATTCGGATTTGCAGATCAGCAATTCAGCGTGGAACTCGCCTGTCGATAGTCAACCCTGCGCATGCTCACTATCGACTCAACTATTTCCCATATTATAGAAAGTGACCTTCAAACAGACATCATCGACATCCAGTCCCGGTACACATGAATCGACCTGACCTGTTCCGTCAGACCGTCTATTTGTCAGAGATGGGTTCGGTAGCAAAGGCACACCAATACGACCTGCTCCGGCACCACCACCCCGTCACCAACGAACCCGCCCGAGCGAATAAGACCGTCGATCCTCCGATCCGGAGATTTTCGCTGCTGTGACGCGTGTATCCCGGTGGCACGGACGCCGTCCCAGCGCTCCATCCATTCCCAAAACCCGTGTCGCCCAGTCATCCGTATATATCGATGTTCTGCAGTCGGTACAGATGTCAGTCGACGACTGTACGATGTCTAGCTATGGCCTTGCTCTGCCAACGTCGCTGTCTCACGCCAAAACGCGGTCCAGCGTTGAATTCTCTGCATATGTCGTGTCGCGGGGCCATTGCTCGCGTTGCACCCAGGCGTCGTAGCGTTCCTGGTCGGTGCCTGTGTGGCCATGCGACGAGCATGGGAACGGTCGATGTATGCGTCGGAGTCCCCGGTCGTCGATGAGAAGGGCACGGGAATTCTAGCGAGTAGCGGTTACAGGACTGCAGCGGAAATGATAGACTTTCATGTCGTGCATTCGTCGAAGCTGTAGATGCCAATTGCCATGATCATATTCCGCCATCAGGGTATCATGCGTAACCAAACCCCCACCGGCCCCCCAAACATCTCCGTTGCCAGGTGGTCCGATCATCCTCTCCTCCCAGGCTCCTACGCGCCATACACGTCTCTCCCTATTCCAACCCCCCCTCCTCCAACACCTTCACAAACCCCTTCCCAAACCTCCCCATCTGCTCAAACGCCACCTCGAATCCCGTATCCGCCCCATAATACGGATCCACCACCACCTCCCCCCTCTGGCCTCCCCAATCCCCCCACAACCCCACCCTCGCCACCCCCTCCCCCTCGCCCCCACCCTTCCCCTTCCGCTTCCTTACCACCTTCTCCCTCACCTTCCTCAAATCTGCCACATTCTCCCTATCCATCCCCACGATCCAGTCGAACGCTAGGAAGTCCGCTTCGCGTACCTGCCGCGCGGAGTGGCTGTAGGCGGTAATGCCGTGGGCGCGGAGGGTGGCGAGAGAGCGGGGGTCGGGATCGGAGCCGGTGTGGTAGGCGGCGGTGCCGGCGGAATCAATGGCGGTGATGAGGGGATGGGTGGAGTAGTGATGGCGGAAGACGGCTTCGGCGAGGGGGGAGCGGCCTAGGGGGGGTTAGTCGGGGGTGGAGGG